ATTGTAAATGTTGTCGTCGTTCGGGCAACGAAACAGGCCGCGTTGCACACCACATTTGATGAGCCTTGCAGCACAAAATCAATCTCTTCAGTGGCATAAAGGTGTGGGCATGGGATTAGCATTAAACACAGGAGCTGCAAACTAAAATTGCCTTCATTGATGCGGAGTCGTCCTCAGGCGCTTGAAAGTGTGAATTGAACTCAAGTTTGAGTTGCAAATGAAATGGCGTGTATTGAGAGTGAGAATATTCCGAATGCTACCAGCAGTTTGGCTGACTTGTTCAGTATTTAATTTCGATTGGATTTCTATCGTCATATAGAAATAGCTTCTTCTACGCATCTGCAACTAACAACGACTAAAGCTAATTAGTCGTCAGGCATTTCAATAGCGTATTAAAAACGCAACTCAAGATGTTGGCTGTGGAGGAAATTTGCAGTACTTGAAAGGTTTTTGAACTATTTCACTATAATTTAGCTGGATTTAAGAATTTCACATTTAATCCAGTTTTTTTTAAATATATACTATAGTAGACGAAATTCTATAACGAACATTTTTAAACTGTAAGCAATCTATCTTGAACACTGGATCAGTAAATAGCACTTAATAAGTTATGCAGCAGAAACCATTTAAATGTGGTTCTTAAATCGACATAATTTCCAACTGCAAGAATTTTAATTCTATAAAAAGTTTTTAAAATAACTCGATAATTTTTAATCAGCTTTGAATGGCATTCCTCATGCAATTCCTCATATCAGTTAATAATTTTCAATTAATAGCTTATAACTGGCTACGATAAAGAAGACTATTACAGAGACATTTTTATACAAATTGTTTAATTTTGTACTTAAGGGACAAAAAGGAAAAGTTTAAAAGAACTCACATATAGATAGTACTAATTAAACTATTTATTTTAAGGTTTAAGTTAAAAAACCCTACAGGCTAAAAACAATACTCAATTTATTTTTCAAAATAGCTAATAAATGCAAATCTTCAACTAATTTGTGGTTTATAAAAACACTCTCAAATGAAAATAGAGCTGTGATTGCGATAAAGCTGTCTTAGACGTTCCTTATTATATACATTAATTGTCAAATATTTACTAGTGTACTGACAAAATGAGGTACAATAAACGTGTTTATTAAATAGAGTGAAAACTCTCTTGGCCGGACACTCACGGTCGGCCAATTTTTGTCCGCCCAAGGGGAGTGTCCGCTTAAGGGGATACTTAAATACTTTATACACCGATCGAATGTTTTAGAAAGTATCCGTCGAAGAGAGTGTCCGGATAAAAGAGGTGTCCATTAAGGGAGTTTTCAGTGTACTTTATATTAAAAAATTAAACGAATTTCTTGCTCTGTGTAATAACTTCTAGTTTTTTGCAAATATGAAAGCATTTTAAACAGAGTACTTTGTTAGTTCTCATTACAAATGTAATTCAACTCTGAATATTAAGTTTCGAACCGACGCTTACTTTCCAATTCAACACTTTTTTAAACATGCCCTAAAAGCCTAATATTTGGCTGTCAACTCAGTTGCCTCCAAATGGTTGCGTGATTCGAAATTGGCCACAAATACTTGTATGTGTTGCTTTTAGCGTTTACCATAAACTGGAAAATTGGTCGTAAATACTCACACTTGTGTTTTGGACTCTACTATGATTATTATTGTTGTTGTTGTTGTTGTTGCTGTCACCGTTGTGTTTGTGCCCCGAGGGTGGGGAGGGGACTTATAATACAAATTTGGTGGGCCAGACCACACGCCACTTGATACATCGGCCTGGAACGTGGAACGCAACAACATCAAGTGAGTGTAACTCATTTGTAAGAAGTAGAAGTAGAAGAAGAAGAATAACAACAACAACAACAACAACAACAACAAGAGTCGTGCCTCAGCTACCAAATTGTGAGACGGAGGGGGAACTGAGCAGCCACATTCCGAATAACGAGAGATGATGCACGGACGATAATCAAGTTTCGTCTTGTTTCGTAGTCGTACGTCTCATGATAAATGTCACAACATTAACATCAAATGACACGGACCATCCGTCACTCAGTCGGTGTCGTCGATGTCGATGTCGATGTCGAAGTCGAGACCGGAGGCCGGAGGCTGGAGGCTGAAGGCTGGAGGCGACTACTCGTGTACCTTGCCGGGCATCAAGAAGCGTGTGCCTCTGAGCGATCGTTTGTTTTGTCGAACTACTACTTCAATTTGATGGCGATGCTAATCCCTTCTGTCTGTCTATCCGTCTGTCCATCTGTCTGTCTGAGGCGATGCAGCTGACTGGGCTAATTACAATTAACCACGCGCGGGCGACACTCGTTTAGGGTCAAGGTCGTATGCGCCTGCCTGCTGATTAACTGAAAACTTGTAATGGTAACGCGGCTAATTAAAAAGCAATTTATCAAGAACCTACACAGCCAATGCAGTTTTTAGCCACAAATGCACTCAACAGCGCTCCAATGGCCCATAGCCCCCAGCCATTGTCATTACGTTTTGGCCATAATTGCCACGAAGGCACCATTCATGAAATTAAAACAATAAGCGCTGACAAATGTCAATACGTGCTCGCCTCAATGGTTTCTGGTTAATGGACGACGCGACAATTTACAGTAATTATCATTATATCTGGCCGAGTTGGCAGACAACCGACCGAATGCGTATGCAAAGTAGATTTATATAAACATATAGGGGGTATATCGACAGACCCAAGTTCAGGCCGCTCATTCAGAGCTTTGTGGTGAATGGAAACCAGTTTCCAGCTGGCGTTCCTTCTCTTTTTTTTTCCTTCTCTACCTGTTAGCCCAGAGCCGCCAAAGTGTGAAACATTTGTGAAACATATTGCAGGTGTTTAGAAAATGGAAAATAATATCAGCACTGATTATATATTTATTGCTAGTCGCTCTTTATGGAGCAAAGGGCCGAAATATGGCTTGCAATTTAGAGGAAATGTTATGGAAATATTATAGAAATGGGCAGGGCTTTTTAAACAAAAATTAATAAATTGTGTTTCTAGATTTGCAGAAACAACAATTGACAATCAAGGGACACAAATTTCTAACCTTTAAAAAACAGTTATGAACTAATTTCCAAAATATACGAGAGAGAAAACAAATACGAAGTAAAAATATGAACTTCTGCGCTTTGAAGAAAACATTATAAAATGAATATATACATTATACATAAGAAACCAATTTTGTTGCTGGACTAATATGGAGCACACTTTTAAAATATGTATTTGGCAGCAAACAGGATTTTTAGGAAGCTATCAGACCGCTTATTTAAGTGATTGGTTTCTGTCGAAAATCGAAATTTCGACTACTAGTTCTAGTACTAAAAATGCAGTTAAGGCGCTCAGGTAGAATATTTTGGGTACCATTTAAAGCGGACACTATGGGAAGCTATTTGGGTAATTTTCCATTGAGACTGAAAGTATGAGGCGCTTACATTCTTTAAAACTTTCTAAAGTAAGCCTAAGCATAGAGGTTTCTTTTTAACGAATAAGCGAACTCTAACTTCACTTTACTTTTTATACATCTATATCACAAATTTGTTGTAATTAACAAATATTTCACAAACTTAACTTCAATATATTTTAAAAATCTATTATTTATAGCTAATAATTTAATAACTTGTAATAACTTGACTAAAAACCCATTTGTAATATCTAAACTATTTTGATATAATGGAGCTTTAAAATTCGAAGACAAACCAACGTAGACAAATTTTATTTTTGGCCTTACTGCGATTCTAGTAGTTTTTAAAGCATTTTAGCAAAATTCTTTATACCTTATGTTATGCAAATAATTAATTACAATTTAAATATATAATAAATATATATATATAATATTAAAAAAGGAAACTTTTTAATATTAATATAATATAACAAAGCGAGTAAAAGGAAATCCTCATAAGAGATGATGTTTTTACAAGAAAAGAAAATCACGTTCTTTTAACGTCACGGCTTTTCAAAAAATATTCCTATTTTTTTTTACCAATTTTCATTTCAAAGTACTTCATAACCCCTTTCTGACTAGCACACACTTCTAGCCAGAACAGAAGCCCCGACAGAAAGTACAATCTATTTTATTTCTTTAGTTTTACTTAGTTTAAGTTCTCTATTGTATGGATTTTTTATATACAAGTATGTATATGTATTTGTTTTTTCATTTTCATTTTTCTTCTACATCGACTGCATTTTGTCGATGAAATAAATAAAATATATGCCTACAACAATTTAATTGCGCATCCCTTGACATTTTCATATAACAAGAGCTGTAGCTAAGGAGCTCTGCAAGCTTCGTTAATCCCGAGAATTTCTCTATAATTGCTTTTAGCTGTCTAAGTAGTTCAATAATGAAAGACAGCATAAAAGTGACATTTCTCGGTTTAGGAATTCTTAAATATTCCAGAGATAAAGCTAAAAGCCTTGCTGAACTTGATAGTTAAATGGTATTTCCACTGAACTATGCTCTTTCACTTTTGCGGACTTGAGAGAATGCTAAAATTTTGTAACATGGCCAACATTTCTTGAGCCAATTAACAATATTTGTGACTTGCAGTTGCGTCGAACTAGCTCCAGCTTTTACTTTTCAGACTTCTGCTAGAGAGCTGCCTAATTTGTGGTTATTTCGAAACCACAAATGGATAGCTCTGCCTTCTCCGGACCTATTTTGAATGCAATAAGTACGTGTAGGGTACACTCGAGTGCTGAAAGAGGAGCCTATTCGGTGGTGGAGTGGCGGCCACTTCTATGGATATGCACATGTGTATGAAAATGTCACTCGCCATGCATATTTAGCCTCAACAGAAGGCGTGTCACTCTTGAGTTTGATTAATGAGTGCTGGGCGCAGTTCTTTTTTGGGCGACTGGCATGCTTTTTCGCAAGCCCGGAGCCCTACAATGTCTGTCAATGGAACAAGTGGGTGTTGGCAGCTAAATAATTTAATTAGCCAGGCAGCCAAAATGGGGCAGCGCTTAAAGTGTAGAGCGATATACTCACCGACACCGGCCACATGAATCTTCTTCATCCAGGGATAAATAATGCGCTCCCCGTCGGTCGTTTCGGCCATCAAGTCATCATCGCTGTCTGAATCCCCCAAGTCATCGTCGTGGTCGTTCGAGCCCAGCTCGTCTGGCGATCGATCGAGCATGAGTCGATCCTCCTCAGACATATCGTCCTAGTTGGATATGAAGATGTTGTTGTTAATGGCATGTGTGGGGACGGGAGGGGGGAGTGGTTATGTGCTTATATTTACATTTTCTGATCCCATATCATCACAGCGTAGTCTCATTCCCAGTTCTTGCAGTTGTTGGCCGGCAGGTACAGCTTCTTCGATGCGTTTCTCCAATTTTAAACCTGGAATGCATTGTTTTGCTTAGTGTTTTTGGGTTCGTAGCAATGAACCAGAGAAGGTAAGAATAGGTTCATAAATATCTGCTTTCAGATGTGATCGACAGCTTATTAAAGATCAGGATTAAAGTGGGTTGCTTTAGATAGTTTGGGGATCCATTTACACATAGAATGTTGCTCTGAGGGGACTCCCCGCCCTAATCTTGAAAATTACGTTAGCGGCAAAATGAAAACTTGGCAGATTTAAATATTCTTTAAAATCGTTTGAATGCAGGACTTAAAATAGGGTCTGGAATGGTGAGAGATTTTATTTCCAATAATTTAGTTTTGCAGTTCTTTACAGTATTTTCGAGGCTAGCACTGAATAATTGATTGATTAATAATTGAAAATGGAAAACAGTTTTCAAATATTTGTTCAAATATTAAATAAAGCAGACGTTTAAGATGTGGCTATAAATATAGTAGTATTTAACTTAATTAATATATATTTATAGCTATCTAAAAGCAGTTTTATTCAATTTCTCATCAGGGAATTTTTTTCATCAAAATTTTCAGTTATTGTTTGTGGCTTTATTAACATGGCTATTAATGTAATTTGTTTAGAGCTACCTAAAATCAGTCTTTTGCACTTATTTGTTTAATTTTCGTTTGTGGGTTTGTTAACAACTTATAGCTAGCCAACTGGCAAATAAAGTTCCCTCAACGAGTTGGCTATTAATGTAACTTGATCAGATTTTTCTATTTGGTTTCTAACTCAAAAGTTGTTACTAAGTATAATTGTTTGTTCTCTGTTCAATATTGACTATGAATAACAAAAAAAAGTTCGGTCTCACAAAAGATGTTTGAAAATAAATACATATTTGTTACAGTCATATACTTTGAGGCAATTGAGAATAAGTTGAGACATGAAAATAGTATATATTTCAAAGTAATAAATGATCTAAAAGAACTGATAAGTAAGTCTTTAATTCCATATAAAAAAGGACTACTTGGCATAAAAGATACTCGATAAGAGTCCTTCGATTTCCTATCTTGAAATTTTGAATTACTTGCAAGTACGAGTATTTAGACAAATCTATAGGCAAAGTTAATCAAATTAATATAAAATAGGTCGATTTCCAAATCGAATATTATTTCGCAGTGTAACTAGAGCTGTACTAGGCTTTATTAAAGCCTGATATTTAAATTGAAATCACTCTAATTTGACATCTAAGAGTAAAGCCATACAAATTAAGTTTTAATTTGAATTAACTTTTTAATATATATTAAAATTAATTTATAGTAATATATTTTTAGCAAATATAAATTGTAGTTCCAAAGCATGTCATCATAATTCTTTCTTCCTTTTTATGGAACGTTTATTTATTTTTAATTAATTACAAACGTTTGACAAAATATAAAATAACTTTGATGTATAATATAAATATTTTTCTTCTTAAAAAAATCTCCACTACTTGCAAGAATTTAACGAATTTGTATGCAAATTATTTGCCTGTCTGACCGCCACTTTAGCAGACCTTTTCAAGCTGCTTTTGCATTCTCAGTTGGGACGGGACGGGACGGGACGGGGCAGTCACTCATTCAGGACTTTGGTCATCTCTAGTACTATACATACCTAATTCCTGCAATCCCAGTGCCGTATTCGTTGGCGGCTCTGTGGATGAGCATTGCAGGGGCAGATCCATCATTTGGGAGTGCGGCGAATGGCCCTGAGAGTGCGTGCTGCCGACACTGCCATTGGTGCCATAGTATCCGTAATAGTTATTTGAGCCGGTGGACACTGCCGCCGCACCACTGCTGTTTGGCACATTTACCGCCGGCCCATAGCCATTTCCGAGTGGGGGTCCCACGGGCTCCGAATGCACCGCACCCGCCGATATGTACTCCGGAGCATGATGCACTGCGGCGGCAGCAGCGGCGGCCGCATGGTGGCCATAGTAGCCGAGACTCTGGTGCGGATGGTGGTGCGTGGGCGTGGCGGCGTAGTTGGTGTAGCCGGCGTTCTGGTGGTGATGGCTGGAGAGGGCGCTGTTGCTGTGGTGCGGGTGCGAGTGCGAGTGCGGATGAGAGTTGTGGTGGTGGGCGGCGGCGGCCATGTAATCGTTCACATTGACCATATCCGCCGGATGTGTGGCGTGCGGATGGGCGGTCATTGTGGAGCCGCTGCCCGCGCCACCCCCGCCCATATGGCCCGTCGAGGCGGTCATCGAATAGTGTCCATTGTAGTGATGATAGTCGTCCGCTACCGGCGGGAATTTCGGGTCCAGACCATTGCCCATGGACATGGGGCTCTGGACGTGATGCGGCGCATGTGGATAACCCATGAGGAATGAGCTCATAATGACAACAACAACAGCTCGACTGAATGATGATGGTTGTGGTTGTGACGATTGCTTAACATAAAACGGATTCTCCCTCGCCCGGACGACCTTGATCAATTATTACGGGTTAGATGTTATTTGTATTGCACACCAAAATGATTCAACAATCTTTTCTATTTAATAATAAATTTTCTCCTTCTTGTAGTTGTTGTTTAATTTTATTTCTGCTATCTTGGCTATATCTTTGCAGACGTTTTGTTTAATTACTGACACCGCGGGGCGCTTCGCACACAACTTGGCAGCATTTTCGTGCTAACCTTGGCTTAGACACTTGTTTTTGTTGTTATTTCAAGCACACACATACAGACACACAACAAGCATTATTATTTTTTCAACATTTTCTGTTCACTTTTTCCCATTTATTTCTTTTTTTTCTTTTTGTGCACATTTATTAGCTCCGATCGGTTCAAATTCGTTGAATTTTTCTTGGTTAGCTTTTCATTAATATTATGTGTATTTTCATTCGTTGCGCGCAGCCGTTTGAAAAATAACAACAACCGCAGAACCGACAAAAAATTGAAATTCTGATTTTCTTTCGGTCAAGCAGCGGCGCTAAAAACATTCAATTTCCAACCACACGACGCGTCTGACTCACGAGTGCGAACCGTTCCATTCGAGCCATTCTTTTGTTGTGCCCGAGCTATCGAGTGCTGAGCACAAGCGAACCTGTTTCCCTCGTTCGCATTCAGTGCGTCCCCCTGCTCGCTCCGCACCGTCCCGCATTCGCCGTCCATTGCCATTGACAGTGCGTCACACGTCAGAGTCAGCGAAACTCGCTATACTGGTTTCTCGTTTCAGCCGCAACAACAACAACAAAACCACCACACTAGGGACAGCCCACACGCATAAGAGCCGGGCTTTGGTTTCGGGTGGGTAGCCATGCCGGCAGACGCACAGCACGCCATTTTTCCACCACCACCACAACCGCCATGCAGTACACAGGCACGTGTTAGAGCAGCGCTTCGTTGTCGCAGAGCGAGACAGCATGAGCGTTTAAACACACCCATTTCCATGTGAAGCGCTCATCGCGCTCTCGCTACAGTCGCGTCCGCTTAAAACGTTCCTCTTTATATTACTGACGAAGTAATAGTTCCCCAAACTAAAAGGTTACAATAATAGCAGTAAAGGGGGTTATAACTTATTATATACTGAGCTAAAACAATATAAATATTGAAAGTTGAATGCATAAGAAAAACTTTAACTCTGCAAAACTTTGGTAATGAACAATCTAAAAAATGATTATTTATTTTAATAAAATATGTTTAAGGGTATTTTTTGTTTAAATCTCTAAATAAATTTCGGTGATTGTTGATTAAGAAGTATACAATTAAATGATGCATAATGTCAAACTACGTTTTTATTATCTTTGGATGAATATTTAACAGAGTTAGCTGTTTTCAATTTTATTTATTGCATAAATTTTTACTTAAACTACGTTTTTAATATCTTTGGATGAATATTTAACAGAGTTAGCTGTTTTCAATTTTATTTATTGTTATGCACCTATTCTCATTTGGAATGGATATACAAAATAGGAAATATAGTTTGTGCTTCCATACGAAATCCGCTTGTTTCAACCTTTGAATGTTTAATTATGGGGTTCAGAATAAAAATGAAGTCTTAGCTTTTAGTGGCATCAAATATAGTTCAATGGCTTACAATTAAAAATTTTAAAACTTTCTTTTCATTAATTTTAAAACAGAAATTTCTACACAATTATAGCAATTTCAGTAGTGTTCCATTTGCATTCAACGAAACGTTCCCAAATCTAATGGAAAAGGAATAGTTACGAAAATAACATTGGTTCCATTCGGAAAAAGTCCTTTTTAGGACACGACTGTGTTATAGAGCTGCAACAATTGCAGCAGACTCCACTGTTGTCCATCCTGTTTGCCTTTGCTGTGTAGTTTTTGCTTTTGCCATCTACGTCGCGTACATGAGTGTTTCATTTTCTGCCCTCAGCTATGGCGCACACTCGCATTTGAGAAACTGTTGGTGCGTGGTGAAGGACCGCCCCTTTTCAGTACGCTTTTCATCGATCTCGCGGCGACCGCAGCTATGAGTGGACCAGACCATTTATTTTCCAGAACTTACGCACACGTCCACATCTCTCTTCTTAATGCGAATGCGATGCAACGGAGTCTTATTGACGAGCAAACGACAATATCGATCGCGCAGACTTTCAACACCAGACGCGAAGGCTTTTGAATGGCACGGGATATTGATGTTGTTGTTGGTGTTGTTACTTTGTCGGCTACCGGGTTGAGAGGCTCCTACACAAGCATATATGCACGTACATATAAATAAGTCAGAGCTGACTTGCAATATCTGGTATTGCTGTTTAAGGTTCAACGAATATCGCCGCACTTGGCGTAATGTTTCATTATTCTATGGTTGCTGTGGTTTTTGTGGTTGATGGTGCTGTTTTCCATTGTTGTTGTTGTTGTTGCTGTTGTTGTTATCATTACTACCGTGATTTTTATTGTTGCTGAAATGATGAGGATGACCAGCAGTTATTCAAATGAGGGAAGCACGCATGGAAAATCGATAGAATGATTTTTGTATAATTCATCGAAAATGAAAAGAAGGTCGCACATTTTACGCTTTAATATTTCTGTAAATATTTGGACTCTTCTTCCATACAATTCACATAATTAGTCACTCTTAGAACAACAGCTTCCACTTCTTTCTTTCTCTCTCTTTCTTTCTTTCTTTCTTCTTAGTAAGTTCAGCTCTCTTTAAATTCCATTTACAGCCTCTGTGTGTGTGTGTGTGTGAATAATATTTGTACATGGCGACTTTGTATATGTATTGGTGAGTCACGCTTTTGCCATGTGTCGCAGTCGTGAGGTGAGATTGCCTAATTGCCGAATAATTGAACTCGGCCCCATGGAGCACACGTGCTGTACTTCGCCGTACTTGCAAAGCCATGTGTGTTCAACTTGTGTGTATATGTGTGAGTGAGCGCCTGCCAACGGCCACTAATTAATCGACTTCCAACTGATTCGATTTTGATGGTCACTATCAAAACATCATTAAAACCATTAAGTTAAGTGAATGAAAACTACGTTTAATGTTTAATTAAAGTCTCCGTCGCCATCCTATTCCAGAGGATATGTATGCCGTTGTCTCATAGACATGTGCTCTCCCATTTAATATTTAATTTGGGGAGCCAGCCATCAGTTCTCACATATTCTTGAAACAATATTTTTATAGTAGACTAGGTGGACAGTTTTCGAGATGAGGTCTGGAGTAATGTTTAAGCCAACTATTATTTGAAATTAAAATACAAATGCAAAGAACAATTCAACTAAACATAAATTAAAACGCAATCTGATTTTTTTGACTTAGTTTTACAAATCAATTACTATCGACTTAGGTGTTAGGATAATTATTAGGATAATTGTGAGAGGATGTATCGTCATTATAAGTTTTCAAAAGAGGAGAATTTGAAAATCTTGAAATGTATTATATTTCAATTCAACTAGAGTTGCTCAAATCGTACATCGATCAACAAAATCTGCTTCTGTGCCCGTATCGTTTTTTTAGCAACAATTCAAAATATTTGGACTACCCCAACGATACAAATACTCTCTGAGTAGCTTTACAAATTAAAGTAACTATCGCCACTTAAGTTTAACAAACACAGAATTACTGAACTGGCAGGGAATTGTTTTAATTATTTTAGTGCTTTTTAAATAAAGTCTGTTTCTCTAAGCTATAGTTCTTCTACTAAACAAAATTTTTCAATCAATATTTAACATAATAGCTAAACATTCATTTATATTTTTATTTATTTATAAGCCCTATCCTAGCGTTACAAGTATTGGATTACTTTTAAATTATTTCGCTAGTCATTACAAATTTAATTATATTGAGCTTATTATTAGGTTATTTTCTTATTTCAATAATTATTTTTAACATTCAAAATTTTTATTAATCTTTATAATTATTATATATATTTGTATGTTTGTTTTATCAGTTTTTTACTTAATCTATTTTGCCTACTAAACTAAGTGTTAATATTAAGTTTTAGGTATTATTTATTTTGCTTATAAACGAATAAAGTCTTCACTTCACTATTCGTTTCTTTAGTTAATTTGTAATTGTTTGACATGGCAGTCTAAAATTAAAAGTAACGATCTTTAAAAGGCAATTAAATAATTATTGTCAGTAAAGGAAAAATAAAGATATCGTGTTGAAAAAATAACACAAAAAAGTATTTAATCAATTACTCTCAATATTAAAACTAAAGAAGCAAACATGTCCTTTTCAATTTACAGCATTTTATTATATTTCATTATTCATAAAACACATGTTACAAAAATAACCTTAGACCTTAGTTCAAATTTTCAATAACTCATCATTTATATTGTTGTTAAAAAATTTTTAAAAAAGCTATCCTAGCATTTTATAAATATTAATTAATTAATGAACAAACTGAGGTTAAAAGAGTTTTTTTGAAATCTTATTTTGTTTAGTTAGAACTTTAAAAACAGCTAACTAATTTAAATAATCGTACAACACAGTTAAGTGACCCACAACGAGTGCAGGGTGGAGCAAGCGAAGGGCTCGACTTTAATTTCGATTTGCATTAAACTATTTACTGAAAAGTGAAAACACGATAAAAATCTTGTTGAAAAGCGGCAGCAGCTCTCTATTGTTTACTTTCTGGGAACAACATTAGTGGCTGCTACATTGAATTTGGCCAAGAGACTGGCACGCTGGGCACAAGCTGGCCACCTGGGAGGAGGCTGCCAGGAGGGCGGATGGATTCTTGGCCGGGTCGTTTGCATAGCAAGCGCGTGGGGTGGTGGCAGGTCTGTCCGCTGTCCGCCGTCCGTCGTCCGCTATCCACAGTCCGAAGTTAGTGCTGCAGTCGAGTTGGAAATCCCAATTCAGTCCCACAATCAGTTGCGACTGTCAGTCGGCGAAGGAAGTTCACTTGCTGCACATCGCAAATGTGATTAATGGTTCCGACTGAGGCACATTATGTGTGCCCTGTCATGAGGAGCTCTTGTATTGTTCCTATGTTCTTCTTATTCTCGTGCTGGTGTTCTTTGTTTTCTCTTTCGTTTTGCTTCAGTCGTCTCATCTAAGCCAGCCATCAAAAGTTTTTTCGTTCGTGTTTTTTTTTTATGTTAACGTAAAAAAGAAACACGAGAATATGTTCACAGATACATTTCGTTGTTGTTTTTGTTGTTGCTGG